GGGTGAAACAGAGACAGAGAGACGGAAAATGAGAAATCACCCCCAAGGGGGGATGGACATGCCTCAATCCCTTCATCTCCATTCTCCTCTTGAGATTTTGGGCATACATGTTCACAGACAAAGTGTGATTTTTTAAGCCACCGAGTCTGGGACTTGAATGGCTTTCAGCCACATGGGAGTCCAGTACGTTAATCACTATGCCACCTGCTGGTCCTGGCCCTGGTCTGTCTTAACCATGCTAGACACACATATGAGTGCCCAAGATCTGAGGGCTGAAGGACAGGAAGAAAGAGATCACTGGGTGACCAGACCTTTTAGACCTCTTTCTTTCTTTCTCTTACTCTCACATGCTGGTACATGTGCACTACCATGAAAAATAAAAGACAAACTGTTTAAAAAAAGAAAAGCAATCTTTGGTTGTTATAACAGAATTCAAAAAAAAAATTAATAACACATTTATTACTTCAAAGAAAAAGTTAGATAATTTTTCTAGTTCAATTTTCTTAATTCTCCAGAAACCTGAGTAAAGGTTGAAGTCATAACCAGCATGATTCATAACTTGTATTGAATCAAAGTGTGTAAAGTTCAGACAATGTAGTCTTGTGATAGTGAAAAGCAATCTAAAGTATGAATAACCTTTTAATAATATTTGTTCAGTAAGTCATGTTACAGATAAACAATCAAAGTCAGATTTCTTGGATGGAAGTCTTCCTCCCAGGAATACCTTTCTATAGGAGAAGCTTGCTTCAAAAATAATCTCGCCTTATCAACAGCCTCTGTTCCCATGGGATGTCTTCTCGGCTTGCAGTCGCCAGGATAACAGGCCCAGAATGTGTTTCTGAGTTTGGGAGTGCTTTTCCTCCACTACATGTAGTTCATTGCTAAAACCCAATGCATTCATTTCATCCTAGCTGAGCTAAAAGACTGGACATTTCATTGTACCTGGCAGCCATTGCTTAACTTGTTGCCTGTCTTTGGGTACTGAGTCATCCTAAGACAAATTCCTGAATAAGAGCATCTTTTTCTTAAAAAAAAGAATTATTTTCTTTAACTTTTTATTTCCTTTTTTTTTTAACTTGACCAGGGGGGAGAGAGAGAGAGAGAGAGAGAGAGACAGACAGACACCAGGTCCAGGACTTGAACCATAGTCAACCATGTGGGAATCCAGCGCTCTTAACCACCATGCCACCTGCTGGTCCCAATAAGAGCATCTTTGTAAAGACACTCCTCATACTTTTCTTTCTCTTAATTGGGTTCACAAAGAAATTACTCTTTATTACCTAACACAAAACTAGAAATTATGTGGGTTAATTATACTTAGCCATATTAATCTATTTCTTTTGTATGTGTGTGTGTGTGTGTGTGTGTGTGTGTGTGTGTGTGTGTTTGTGGGGGAGTATAAATTATTTTGGAATTAGAAATAATTTTATACTTATTACTTTCTGGGAAAAGTATTTAACTTACCTGAACCTCAGTATTTTCATTTGGAAAATGGCATGATAATAGCTTCCTTGAAGGTCATGGAAACAAAAAGTAATATATACAAAACTGAGTAGAATATCTAGCAGCTCTAAAAAGAAAATTCAAAGCCTTGCATGTTAAGTGGTATTATTCACTTTTTTAAGAATTACTTACTTTTATTTATTATTTTTTAATTTACTTCAGTGACCATAGAGACAGAGAGAGAGAGAAAGAAAGTGAGAAAATAAGCCACCAAGTCCAGGTCTCAAATCATGGTTGACCATGTAGGAGTCCAGCACCTTAACCGCCATCCCACCTGCTGGCCCAAGTGATATTATTCTTACAGTTTGTTGTATTATAAATTAGAAAAGGTATGAAGAAGCTCTTGATATAAGCACTCAAGAAATTATAATAATAATTTTTCTACTTTATGTGTAAGGACATAATGCTATTTCAGGTCTGGAATATATCAATACATTATGGTGCTTTTCATACAGCTATGATGAATATTTTTCTTCAGTCAATAAATATGTTAGAAATAGGAAAAGGTATGAAAAAGAATAAAAAAAGAGTAAAATTAAATTTACTTTAGAGGATAAAAGACAGCATCAAATCAAAAAGTTTCAAGGTGAATTAAATGTTACTTAACAAAAAGGAGAGGTCAGTTGATAACAGAACAGGACAAAATTAGCCAACAATTTCACTAGAACAATGAGAGCAATATGTTCAGAAGAAACATATATCTTAGTAGGAAATAGTTTGAGTTCTAGGGAAATGGGGATGTCTGAATTTGGATCCTGGCTTAGGTAAGTTTATTTATTTATTTATTTATTTATTTATTTATTTATTTATTTATTTTTAAACATCCTACACTGCAATTTCCTCCATCTTAAAAGTATCCCTTATAATATTTCCAGGAACATAATTTGTATATGGCTAATTAATAAATTAAAACCCTTTCAGTCTGTAGTAATCATTTAATTGAATCTTGCTTTCAACACAGTTTTACTGTCAAGCACATAAGTAAAATACACCTATTGCACTAGGCTATGCTTATCTTTACTGTAAAAACACACTTTTGCCACCTTAATCATTGGGGTCATCAAACTCCATAAATACAGAAAGTAATTTAAAATATTACATGTTTATTCCTTACAAAATGTAATTACTTATCCATGACTCTTTCCTCTTTCTTCATGTGCATACATTTGTACTTTCCATTTTTTGTAATTGAAAATAATGAACTCTCCTGGTGGCTCTCAAAAAGGTAACATGTTTATATCAAGTACATAAGTTCAGATGTTATATACAAGTTTAGGTGTTACATACAAGTACAGATATTACATATATTCAATCAGAACTTTTGAGCAGAGGGTCTAGGAATCTATTTTTTATAAAAGACCTAATCAATATCCAAATGATGCAATGAGAACTTTCTTGCCTACAGTAAAGCTTCTTTCTTGCTTGAGAACAAAATACGCCAAATGGAGACTGAATAGATGAACTTGACCTCAAATATTTGTTCCCTTTTAACACTGAATACTAACCACACAGGCTACATATCTTAAGATAGAGAAGTACTTAAAAATATAATGACGTTGGTTATGTAAAACCATTTTATCATTCACATTCGCTGACATTATACATATAATGTAATATCAATCTCTGATGCAGCTGATCGAAACTACTAAAATGAAATTAACTCTTAAATATTAGATTTTCTTTATCTGGTCCAGAAGCATAGAGAATCACTGCATTTTAAAAATACCATATTACGGTAACTTTTAATAATCCCAGAAATATAGGTTAAATATTCTTTACATTTTTTGATAAATTGACATATAAATATCGGTATCTAGATGCACAATGTACAGAATAATAATATTAATTATCTCCTAATAATTATACTTAAATAAATAGAAAGGAAGGAAACTATAGGGTTATACAAATTAAATTACTGACCATGCTGGCTTAACTTACTTTATAGTTTTTATTTCTATTTAGTGAAACTTAGTTGCCTCATAATGAAAATGAAAAAGATAACTTTAAACTGCAAAATAAGACTTTTAACTCTCAAGATGGAATTAAAATTGCTAAACCAATAGTGATAGAAAGTAGCCATGCTTCAATTTCTCATTCAAAATTTATCTTGAAAAACATAATCCATAAATAAAATCTTACAGGAACTTATACTTTGTGAACGAGTATATAATATTTTTTGCATGTCAAAATTTAACCATAATTATGTTGTGACGTCTTTTGCTTAAGAGTTTCCTGACAAGCCCCTTTTTTTCATAACACAAAATTTTAAAGCATCACCAGAGACCCGTGTTTATGTATAATTTGTATTATATATTTAGATTATTCAGGGTCCATGTTGGTTCTTCAGAAGTTAGTAGACTGGTAGAGAGTTGGACTGAAATAATTCAGACTAGGAAAAAAATGAAACGGAAATTGAATTGTATATTGCTTAAAATTAACAATCAAAAACACACGATTTTCTGAAGAAAGCGTGGATTTAAAATAGATACTAATTACCAAAAGTATTTGATTTTTTTAAACACAGAGGAAAAATATGAAGACAAAACAATCTCATAACTTCAGTCAGGATGTGAGGTCAAATTACATGTGACAGTAGCGGAAAACTACCTTGCCTCTGGAATAATGTGTTGTTTCAAAATTAGTACATATTTGAGATTTAATAATATTAATTCATTCAATAGTTGTAGATAGTACATATTTGAGATTTAATAATATTAATTTTTTCAATAGTTGTATTGAACTCCTACTAAAATTTTAATGAAAACAATTAAAGGAAAGTCTCCTATTGAGAATGTTAAGTAATACAAACGACAAGTTAAAAATAAGGATCAAACCTCAAAAGACTGAGCAGTTTTACAGAAATAACTATTATACTTACATAGTCCCCACAAAACATTTTGATGATGATGATGAAGTTCAGAGCAGACCTAAAAATTCTCAATAAGTTATCAATTGCATAGATTTATGTTGCTATAAAGCCAGAGAGAATCAAGGTTCACTGTTGAATCAAATTTACATATGTTCACCACTCTTCTCAGTTTCTTAGACAAGAAAATGGAGGGGTGATTCTGGACACAGTGTGACCAGAGATACAGTATTTATACTTAACTATCAATCATAGATGAGTAGGCAGAATTATTGCACAAAATAAATAGAACCACTAGCCTAAGCCCTGGTTGTGTGTTGATTTAAGACACACAAATTAACCAATCTATGAGAGAAGAGTAATCTTTTGAAAAAGTTGATGACTTATGGAAAGGTAAATTGGTTAACCACAAAGTTAATGATTTATTTTCTCCCTAATCATTGTTAACATTCAGACTCTTTCAGGTGCCCAGCTCTAGATTCATATTTCAAATTTCTAGGTTCTATGTGCATGTGTATCATTCTTTAAATATTTCAAATACTACATATCTAGTCTTATATTACAAAACAATGAATTTAGGGCAGACTCAATTACCCAGCAATAAAAGTATTTGAAGAAAATATATTCACTATCATTTTTCGCACAATCTTCATATCCCTATAATTTTTAAATTTAAATTTATTACATTTTCAATTATAACTAAAAAATTCTCAAGGTTCAACATATTCTTAGCAACTATATATCCTTTAAGTTTCATGAGTAATTCCAAAAATAATAAAACAGATGTGTATTATATGTTATTTGACTGCTACTTGCCACTTAGTGAACAATATAGTTTTCATTTGGTCTATAAACCTTAAAATCTTTGAAAAAAATTGGAGATGAATAATTCTTAGTTAAAAAAGCATGTTACAATGTGGATATAAATTGATAAGCATCCATAACATTATGACTGATTTGCTCAAAATAAATGTGTTGTTAAAATATTAATAAAAATCATTAAACAGGATGTCTTTGTATGTGTGTATACATATATTATGGGAAGCAGAATATCTACATTATGCAGAACTCAATTTATAACAGAATCTGCTTAATAAAACACCTGGTAATGTAATAAATTTAAAAAAGCGTGCTGCCTGCTTTCAAATCTAGTAAGTCATATGATGTGCTGTAAATATCTGAATCACAGTTTGTGTCTTCTCTGTGCATATTTAGACAAAATATAGTAATTATTAAATAATAATTACACTTACTAAATATATAGAATTCATAATGAGAAACAAAAAATATTTCCAACTAAAATTGTCTGTTATTTTCTTTTTATAATTATTTTCAAAATTGTGGGGTTTACGGCTTATAGATTAAATGTATAAATGTGAAACAAAAATTGTTAAAAGTTTTAAGACCAAACATTTTTTTCTTTTCTTTCCTTTTCTTTCTTTTTTTATGGAGAGGTTTTAGCTATAAGACATGTGTGCTTGCCAGAAAGACAGAGAGACAGAAAGCGAAATATCACCCACCCAAGGGGGATGGCCACACCGCAATCCCTTCTCCTCCATTCTCCTCTCAGGATCTTGAGCACACACACACATGCGCTCGGCATGAGTTTAAGCCACTGGGTCCAGGACTGGAACTGCGGTTGACTACATGGAAGTCCAGTGACATAGCCACTACGCTAACTACTGGTCCTAAGACCAAATATTTTTCCTAATATTACTAGATAGTTGAGAAAAAAAAAAAGAGTCTGGATAATATTCTCTGTTTCTCCCAGACAATAGTTACTTATTGTGTAATTTTATTCATTATTTTGTGACTTATTTTTTCAACAATATCCCCAAGTAAAATTATGATCCTGGGATTTCCTTTACAATATACGTCATGATGCAAAGGTTTGAAAGACATGAAGCCAATATGGCCAAATCTTTTATAGTGAAGTTTATTTATTTCTTCCAAGAGCAAGAAAGGCAGAGACAGAGAGACAGAAAGACAGCATGCCCAACCGAGCCTTGAGGCCCTGATACACGTGACTTAAGTTAGTCCCAGAACATGGGCACACAGGTGCGCAGAGTATGCAGGGAGGTCTCTGGATGCGAACCCGGCATCTGCACAGGTCGGTCAGACTCTCAGAGCAGCAGATTTTACAGCTACACTACTACTAGCCTCAGTGTGGAAAAACCATGAAAATTACTGAGGAAATGGCAGTTATCTAGATAATTATATTTTTAGGCATATTTGAAATTTTTTGTAATATTTTTTAATGCTTAGATTTAACTTATTTACTCCTATCTTAATATGAGTTGAGTATCTACTATCTATAAAGTAATAATTGAGTTTTGCTCTATTCTAGGCATTATTTCAAGTGAATCCACCATTATACACAAAGGTAATCCTTACCACACTGTATGAGTTAGGTACTATTATCACTCATACGTTAGTGAAGAGGAAACTGTGGTCTGGAAGTTTGCCTACAATCATACCCCAGAGTGTGCTAAAGTAGAAATTTGAATCGAGGCAGTCCAAAGACTAATCTATGACCTCAATATCTATGCTACACAAGGACTCTGTGAAGAAATAAAACAAGGCAACAATTTTTTTTAAAAAAGGCATGTTTCTTAATTCAAAGGGATTTACAGTTTAGTAGGTGGAGAAAATTAATGAAATGCAAGATGGAAAATGGTAAGTGTTTTAATCAAGTCACAATAAACATAATGGGCAATTCTATCAGAGGCAAGTTACTTTAGGCAGCAAAGAAATGAAAAAGACCTCACAGATAAATTAGCATTTAAAACATGATTTAGAAATGGAAGGGAAGAGCCTTCCAGGTAGAGAAACCAAATAAGCCAACACCCGCAGGAATAGAATAGAAAGGTGGAAGGGCATGAAGTGTGAGTGTCTTAATTAGGAATTTGGTTTTCAGTTATTAGTTATATACGACCTATAAGAAAATGCATTTTTTTTCTGTTTCACTTATTTGAATTAAGACTCAACTTGGAGTTAAAATTTTTTAAAAAGGAAAAATAAATGGCTTCTGGGCCAACAAGACATGAATATAATCTTTAAGAGTTAGTAGTTTACTTAAAACTATAATGTGGATAAACCAAAATGCAGGTGGATCCTTTAGTAAAGCATAGAAAATTGGGGGCAAGGATTGGTAGTGCCCGGCTAATAATTGCATCAGTTAAACAATGCATTGGCCTGAATACCAGGTATACTGGCTCTTTGGTTAAAACAAGCATGTGTCACTTTATGACAAGGATATATTCTGAGAAATGCATGGTGAGGCAATTTAATAGTTGTTCAAATATTACAGAGTGCACTTAGATAAACCTAGACACTGTAGTCTACTATGAACCCAGGCTGTATGATATAGCTTATTGCTCCTAGGCTGTAAGTTTATACCATAAGTTACTATTGTATAATGAATAATATAGGCAATAATAACACAATGGTAGGTATTTATGTTTCTAAACATATAAAAACATAGAAAAACTATAGTAAAAATTATAAAAGATTAAAAATAGGAACAACTACATAGGGTGCATACCATGAACAAGGCTTTCAGGGCCAGAGGCTGAACTGGGTGAGTCAAAAAGTGAGTGGTGAGTGAATGAATATGAAGACTTAAGATTTGACTGTCTTCTAGTGTAGACTTTATAAACACTGTATACTTAGAGTATACTACATTTTTTTAAACTTCCTTTATTTAATAGTAATTTAGCTTACTATAAGTTTTTTCTTAATAAATTAAAAAATGTTTTTTACCTCTCATGTTTTTGCAATAACACTTAAAACACAAAGACATTATACAGCAATTCAAAATTTTATTTTCTTTATTTATTCTATGAGGTATCTAAATAGTTATTTTTCGCTTTTTAAACTTTTCTATTGAACAATAAGATACAAATGTACACCTTAGTCCAGGCCTACACAGGGTCAGGATCAATAACTTCACCATTTTCTACCTCTTAATCTTATTGCTCCTGGAAGGTCTCAGGGGCAATCACATGACACAGCTGTCATCTCCTACGATAATCATACCTTCTGGAATACCTCCTGAAAGACCCGCCTAAGGCTCTTCTTGAAGAGGTGTCAGTTTTTCCAGAAACATGTCCATGGTAGTTTGTTTGGCTTCTTTATTTTATCATAGATTTACTTCTTTTAAAATTATTTTATTTTTAACTTTATTTAATTAATTAACTAATTTATTTATTTATTCTAATTTGGCCAGAGTAGGAGAGAGATAGATAGATAGATGAGAGAGAGAATGAGAAAGCAAGCTGCCAGGTCCAAGTCTTGAACCACAGTTGGCCATGTGGGAGTGCAGCACTCTTAACCACCACACCATCTGCTGTCCCCATAGATTTACTTTTAAGCAGGTAATATATCTTGAACTTTCCACTCTTTAACTTAAAATTTTGGTATTGTGGTGTCTATGCTTCTAAATCTTTTATGGAGTGTGTTCAGTTCTACAAAAACTTCTACTAAATACTTCACTGAATTTCTTGCGAGTTTTATTTTTTTTTCCTAGTTTCTTTATTTCTTATGTCTTCTTCAGCAATGCATTCCTACTTTAAGTCTCAATGGCCCCTCACTAGTCAATTTCTCAAGAACCACCTCTAGGAGCTCCTCAATGACATTCTCATCCACACCTAGGTTAAAGTTGTTCGCCATCTCAACCATCATCTTATTGATTTTTGCAATATCTTTATCCTTGGCAAATCCTTTGAATTCATGGGGAAACCTCATTTTTTTATTAAAATAATACTTAAGCAAGATTCAATTTTTAAAAAAGAGTTTGAGAATAACTTAGTGATTTCCTAGTTTTGAAAATATAGTTGCTCATTGTCCAAGTGAGGGCAGCAATGGATTCCTTTTTGGACAAACTTCTGAATGTTTTCTTCCAGATTCCAGCAATACATAAATGCCTTGGTGACATCACCTCAAGGATAAGCAATGTTCTTGATGTAGCCAGAGATGTTGTAATCCTTCCAGAACTGTGTCAGTACCTTTTCAGTGTCTTCTTCGGTTGCAGAAGTAGCCTAGGGTAAATGTTCTCAGGTAGTGGACTTTAAAAGTTGCTATCTATAATTTCTTCATCCATTGGTTGGACTGAAAATGTGTTGGGAGGGAGAACCACCAGTTTG